CTGGTACTGTGTCCCCCCCACTCTTCCACGGGTGCACAGTCCCACAGTTACCCACCTTCACTGCCTCTCTTGCCACTGCCGCTACTGACGCGACTGCGGCTGCTGTTACGACTGCGTCGCGGTCCCGCGGCAGGGGGGGCAAGAAAGGTGGTTCCGGTGGAGGTGGAGGCGGAGGTAGCGGAGGTAGTGGGGGTGCTATTGCGACTGGCGGTGGTGGGAGTGCAGCGTCTGGAGAGACCCCTCGTGCAGCGGCTGGTGACTCCACTGCACCTGCTGGTGGCGGCGACCCTCGAGCTCGTCAGTCGCCTCCTGTACTGCCTCCTGTGGTGTTTCTTGGCGTTCTACTCGCTCTTCTTCTGTTCTCAGCTCCAGTTGTGAGGCTGAGATCTACGCCACAGCCATGGCGGTCCAGGAGCTACGCTGGCTCACCTACTTGCTGACCGACCTTGGAGAGCAGCCTCGTTCTCCTCCAGTGCTGTACGTCGACAACAAGGCAGCCATTGCCTTGTGTGAGGAGCACAGACTGGAGCACAGAACGAAGCACATTGCTCTGCGTTACTTCCTTGCTCGAGAGCTGCAGCAGCGTGGTCAGCTTCGCCTGCGTTACGTGGCCTCTGAGGCCAACACTGCTGATGTGTTCACCAAGGCGCTTCAGCCTTGTGACCATCAGCGCTTTTGCACTCTTCTAGGCCTTGTGCCTACTGGACCTCACTTGCTTACTTCTTGAGTCTGTTTGTACTGTGATCTCTATATATATACCTGCATGTTTACTCTTGTTAGGTTGTGATCATTGTACCTTTTGCTCTATTATAAACCTGCATGTGAACTGGTCTTATGACCACTTGCTTGTGCTCGGAATTTGTGTGGTATCCTTGAGATCCACCCTGAGCTTGTTTTGCCTTGCTTTGCCTTGACTGGTCTTGTGACCCCTAGTTCTCCCCCACTTTGCCTATGGGGGTGTGTCAAACATTATATATGTTGTGTTAGTTTAGGCTACAGTGGGTTAGCCTATAGGGGGTACACAATTCTAGGGTTAGGTACTTGTACTCATTTCACTACTAGTTCATTCATTCCTGTTCAGTGATTCCAACAATCACCTTCATCGACGCAGCCACTCGATACGCCTGGCACCTAAATCTTCCAAGCAAGGACATGACCTTCGAAGCCTTCGTCGCCTGTCTTCCAGTAGCAGAACGAGAATCGGGCGTAAAACTCAAAAGCTTCCAGTCAGACGGAGGGGGAGAATACACCTAACAAAGGTTCAAAGAAAACTTGGCAGAAAGAGGAATCAAGCAACTCATCTCTCTCCCCTACGCCCATCAACAGTAGGGTGTAGCAGAAAGGATGAACAGGACCCTCCAGAACACCATGGGCAAGCTGCTACGTAGCATGCACCTGCCCAACCACTAGTGGCCCGAAGCAATGGACCACGCCGTCATGCTGCACAACTTGCTCTTGTCATCATCGCTCCCGAACAACGCATCACCGCATCTGCTGTGGACAGGAAAACTGGGCAGCACAAAAATGTTAAGAGTCTTCGGCTGCATGGTACAGTACCGGCCTCCATCTGCACGAGCTAGCCGATTCTCACAACGCGCACAGTGGGGACTACACTTGGGCATCGAAAAACACTACAACGCATGGAAGATTTTCGACGTCGAGACAAAGGAAACAGTAGCAGCACGTGATGTCATCTTCTACGAAAACCTCACCCTCCGATATTACATTGCCAACTTGCAAGAAGGAAACCCCGATCGCTCCGATGGTTTTCTTGGCACCCGAGCCTTGGCCTCGGCAGACGACGAAGCTGACTGGGACGAGCAGAACGTGGAAGGAGCCTCGGAAGAAGCCGGACCCCTTCCCTACTGCTCCGTCGACGTGCCAATGGACGACGAAAACCCACGTGAAAGCATCAACGCCGAAACCTATTACCATTTCGCTGACAACGGTTACGTTACACCTGCACAAGTCAACACCGACAAAGCAGAACGCGTAGGACCCAATTTCGCACCTGAGCCAGAAGCGGGAGACGAAGCTGTTTATCCCGCGGACATGTCACTTCCCCGCTACACACAGAGTGGACTCCAGATACTCGGACTCATCACCGCAGTCCACGGCACGGCCATTCCTAAGGAGCCTGCCACAGTTCAGCAGGCTTTTGGAGGGGGAGCATAAGGAAAAATGGCGCGAAGCCATGGACAGGGAATTAAAGGCACTAGAGGAGCGCAACACCTGGAAAGTCGTCCCTATCAGTGTGGCACGGAACAAAACGATTCTCACCGGAAAGTGGGTCTTCCGAGTGAAAACAAAGCAGACGGCACCATCGACAAATTTAAAGCACGCTTGGTTGTACGTGGCTTCGACCAGGAACACGGACGCGACTTCACCGAGACATTCGCCCCGGTCAGCCAACACACCTCACTTCGAATCCTTCTCGTGATCGCCGCCATGAAGAAAAAGAAGCTGCGGCAAATCGATGTCGCGAATGCATTTCTCTACGCACCAGTTGACGCTGAGATCTTCGTCGAGCTCCCGCACGGCTCCAACGGGGAACCCAACCAAGTCTGACAACTGCTGAAGTCGCTCTACGGCATCAAACAAGCTCCGAGGCTGTGGAAACAGTACCTGCACGCAAGACTTATCCGCATAGGATTTTGCCAGCTACCTCACGACCAGGGAATGTACGGGCTGACAAAAGGCACCGACTACATCCTACTAATCGTCTACGTAGACGATCTGCTCTACATCGGGTCGACCGACGGCGTCACTACTTGGTTCGAAGGGGAGCTGCTGAAAGACCTCACGCTCACAGTCTCGTCCACCGTCACATAATACCTCGGTCTCAACATACGGGAAGAAGAAGACGCGATCTACCTTAGCGCCGCAAAGTACGCCGACACCATCACCAAACGCTTCGCTCTCACACCAACTACCATCTCCATGCCATATCGCTACGCGGCAGGAAACTGTAAGGAAGAATCCACTCCACTGAAGCCCGCCGGCATACGTGACTACCAGAGAAAGCTGGGCTGTCTCCTCTTCGCAGCCGTCACTTTGTCCGGACCTGTCATACTCCGCAAGTCAGCTCGCGACCTACCTCAAAAAACCTGAAGCAGAACGCATGGCAGAGCTCGACCGCGCTCTCCACTACCTCGTCAGCACCCCAACAATCGGTCTAACCTATCACAAGAACGGGACCACGACACCTAGGCCTATCGGCTACGTCGACGCCGATCACGCCGGCGACTCCGACAACAGGCGCTCCCGCACCGGCTACATCTACCGCTTCGAGCCTATCGGTCCTATCTCCTGGCAGTCGAGCAAGCAGGAATTAATCGCTCTCTCCTCAGCTGAAGCAGAATATATCGCACTCTGCTCAGCCATCAAGGAAGGACTGTACCTTCGCGAACTACTGGAGGAAGCCAAGCTAGCCCAGTTACCGAACTTCACCCTGTTCTGCGACAACCAGTCGGCCATTCGCATAGCCAACAAGAACGGCTTCGCGAACAGGACGAAACACATCGCCCTGCTATATTTGTTCGTGAAGGACGAGATCGAGAAGGGGAGACTCGAGCTGTCATATTGCCCCACGTCCAAGATGGCAGCTGATTACTTGACCAAGAAGCTCGGAAAACAGAAGTTCGAGCACTGCATGCTGCTGACTGGACAGAGCCACGTCATCAGCAGCGACACTCCAGAAGCGAAGGGGAGTGTTGGAAACAACTAATTCTAAGCGCCTCTGTCGTGTCGAAACACCAAGGCACAAGCGAAGCACAACATATCGCAGCATCAGCGAGTCAACCCTCAGAGGTTGAGCAACTGCTGAAGGTTACGCGAAAGTCAAAGGTCAGCGACCTTTGACCTGACAAGTACAGCGCGACAGCAAGGACACACAACTGACTCGCTACAGAGCAGTTGCCCGAGTCGTCACTGTATCGAACCGCAACAACAGTAAAGTAGTTATAACTGTATCTCTTCGTATTCCTTGTACTCTTATATAATCCTGTATCTCCTTGCTGTAATCAATCTACTTTGCCCTCACATACTAGCGCAAGGTGGTTCACAACTCTTTATTAAAACGCTTCCGCTATTACATCAGTCCTACCCAGAGTTCACCCCTGCAAAGATCCTAAGGGTTTTTCTCAGCCCAACACATTGAACTTCCTGAGAATGAACCAAGCAAGATGCTCTGGAAAGGAGGGATTGCAATATTTCTTGTTTCCTTGGTTTCAAATAGTAGATGATGCTGCTGAGGCTTCTTCAGAGTTACCGAACATCAGACATGACAGGATGAAGGAAAGAATTTAGAAAGGCAGAAAGAGATCTGTGATCCTTGTGTTGTTCATCATCGTTCAAAAGAGTACTACGAGCAGCAGTACCATATACGATCATACGGTATGCTGGACCTAGAATACCAGTAACAATCTTCTCACCAGTCACACCAGCCAACACTCCACTCCACCCACCATCAAACCCAACAGACAAAGCCCGAACTACAAGCCTTCCTCTCTTCTCACTCACTCATAATACTCACTCAAATCACACTCCCTCTCCTCTGTCACTCTCACTCCGTACCCCCCATCAGTAAAGTCAACAGTCTGTCACCACCCATTGCCCGGACCTCTCATCGCCGCCCGCTATCCCGGCCCCCCTCACCCTCAGTTTCAGCACCAGCACCAGCATCAACCACCCTTCGCTTCCTCAGCTTCTTCTTTCTCGGCCTGCGAGTCTTTCTCTTTCCCCCATAGCTGCTGCTGCTGCCGCCGCTGCTGCCACTGCTGCTACTCTCTTCCCCACTCCCTCCCTCAGACCCTACAGTTGCAGCCTCTGAAATCGAACTGGTGGTAACACTGTTGCTAAGGCTGCTGCTGCTGCTGCTGCTGCTGATCTCAGAATCGAAATTGTTTGCACTACTCTCACTTTCCTCGCTGCTTCCCTCCCCAGCACCACCAAAACCCGCAGCGCCATTCGCAGTAGCACCATCCCTATCTGCATCCGTATCAGGGCCTGAAGTGGCAGAATCAGCACTGCTACCTTCACTTGGATTAGCATCATGATGTGTGGAGTCTTCACCAGCAGTCGCACCAGCAGTGTCACCAGCACCATCACCAGCGGCACCAGCACCATCACCAGCACCATCACCAGCACCATCACCAGCATCATCACCAGCACTAGCATTATCACTTGTGACAACACTGCCACCGCCGCCACCGCTACCACCGCTACCACCGCTACCACCGCTGCTGCCACTACTGCTGCCACTGTCTCTATCAACATCAGACCCCTCAGCATCTGTTGAGGCTATGCGAGAGCTCGAATCTTCACCACTGTTGCTGCCACTGCCACCACTGCCACTGCTGCCACTGTCGCTGCCACCACCCCCGCTGCTGCTGCCACCACTCACCCCGTCCGCAGCGGAAGTGAGCGCATGAGTAGTCTGCAGCATCGCACCAACGCTCTCTGCTATACTCTCTGCAAGTGTGTGAACTTCTGGTTTGGATTTCCCCCCACCATCCACCTCCTCCCCTACTCTTCCTGCTCCTATCCCTCCCCCTCTCAACCCCGGCACCCCTGTTTCCGTGCCTATACCTGCAGCTAAAGAAGCGGCAGGGGACAGCATTCCAGACGTTGACCCATTCAGAAACCCTAATTCAGCACCAGCAGCGCCAACAGTGCCAGCAGGATAGGTGGAGGCGGCAGGAGTGAGGACGATGGTTCGGCGGTGCATGGAGCGGTAAAGAAGGGCGAGGATGAAGAGGTGGAGGAGAAGAGTGTAGAAGAATACAAAAGCGCGGCCGTACTTGTTTGTGAGCAGGAAACGGCTGCTGTTGAGAGTGATCTGTGGTGTTTTGGGCAAGGGGGGGAAGGGGGGTTGGAGGGGGTGGGAGGAGAGGGTATGAGGTGAGCGGGGATAGATGAGAGGACGGGGACGGGGAGGGAAAGGGGAGTGGAAGGGGGAGCGGGAAGGGGGAGATGAAAGGGAGGGGGAATTCAAGAGGGCCCCCCATGTCAACTCAAGCCCGTGCATTCCGACTTTCTCAATTTCACCAACTCTCCCCTTTTCAATCCCCCCTCATCTCAACCCCCCTCCAATTCAAAGCATTCCCAATCACCTCACCGTGGTGGAAACGCGGGTTGCGACACCTCTCCTCCTGCTCCCTTGGGTTCGGTCCAAACCTCACAAGCCATTTGAATTTCGAAGTCATCTCTCAAGCCCCAATAAGGCATCCTACATCCCCCAATTCACAGATACCGAAATAAGCCATCCCTGCTTACCTTATCATGGAGGCGCAGGTTACGATAGCTCTTCTCCTGCTCCCGCTGGTGAAACTCCGTGAAAGGATTCATTTTCTCCTCATACAGCTTTCTGTATCTCACTTCCGCTGCCCCAGCTAGGCCCCCTGCTCCCCCTGCCGCCCCTGCTCCCCCTGCCCCTGCCCCACCCCAGCTACCAGCACCAGCCATCCCTGCTCCTCCTGCTCCTGCACCTCCTGCTCCTCCTGCCGCCCCGTCTCCCGAATCCGGAGCATCAGATACGCCAAAGCAAGCATATCTTGCCGCCCGGGCCCCTGCAACCCCTGCGAAAATCACCACATCAGACGCAGACGGCCCTGCTCCCCCTGCCCCTGCTCCCACCCCTACCCCTCCGTTCCTTCCTTGCATAGAGCCCCGCATCATCCCTCCTCCACCGCCTCCTCCTCCCCCTCCTCCGTCCCCTCCCATTCCCCCTCCGCCTCCCCCTCCTTCTGCTCCATAGGAGCCTGTACCATCATCGTCTCCTGAAGGGGAGAGCTTGCGCATGGGAACAGAGGAGCGGCGGTTGTACTGCTCTAGGAATCGGATCTTCTCGTATAGCGCCAGGTTGTCATTCGTCACTCGCTGAGTCTCGAGGTTCGCACGGTCTGGCGGGTTGGAATGAGGGAGGAAATGGGGGAAGAGAGGGAGGACGAGGTTGAAAAGAGGAGGAAAGAGGCGACGGGAAGGAGAGGAGGGAGCGAGGCAAGGAGGGAGGCAAACTGCGTTGCTCTTGCAGTCTGCCAGCCTGTCCATCCAGCTTCAGCACTCGCCACACTCCAAGACCCCTAACCCTAATCCGGCCCTCTTTCCCGCCCGCCCTTCCCCCCCCCCACACACTCACTGAGTTGCCCTTGCAGGGAGCCGGTCTTCTCCTCAAACTCCTGCACTCGCCACCGTATCAGAACCCAACCCTAATCCGACCCTCCTCCCCCAGGCTCACTGCTTTGCTCCCCCTTTTTCCTCTCCCCCCCCCCCCCCCACACACTCACTGAATTGCTCCTGCAGGGAGCCCGTCTGTTCCTCCAGCTCCTGCACTCGCCACCCTCTTTAAACCCAACCCTAATCCACCCCCCCCTCTCCCCATCACCCCCAAGGCTCCCACACACCTCCCCCCCCAACCAAACACTCACTGAGTTGCTCTTGCAGGGAGCCTGTCTGCTCCTCCAGCTCCTGCACTCGCTTGCGGAACCGCTCCCTCTGATCGCACACTATCAGCAGCATGTCCCGCTGGCCCTCCTCCCCTGCCGCCCCCGCCCCCCCTCTCCCTCCCCCGCCACCCGCTCCTTCACTCCCCCCCGCCCCTCGTCCCCCCTCTCCTCCTCCCCCTCCCCCTTCTCCTCCGCCTCCTCCATCTCCCCCACCTCCAAGCAGAGAAGCCATCGTCGCAGCAGTCCCTTCAGCCCCTCCTGCCCCTCCGCCCAGAAACCCTCCCTTCTTCCCCTGCCCGCCGACCCCTGACTGCACCAGAATCTCTCTAATCGACCCGCTCCCAGCAACAATGTCCTCTTCTAGCCGTTGCACCAGGGCACGCAACTCGCTGCATTCCTCCTCTAAGGCAACCACGCGGGCTGCTTTCTCCTCGGCTTCCAGCCGGCTTTCTGAGAGGGAGATTCGCGTGGCTGTGAGCTCTGCCATTAAGCGGCGATTGCTCTCCCGCAGTGCTGCTTGGATTCGATGCTCCTCTGTGAGTAGCACCCCCGCTGCTGCTGCTGCTACTGCTCCTGTTGCTCCCCCTCCTGCTCCTCCTGCTCCTCCTGCTCCTGCTCCTTCTCCCTCCCCTCCCTTGCCTTCTCTTTCTTCCCCTCCTGCAGCTGCTGGGAGTGCGGCGGCTGCATCGGAGGAGGAGGAGAGGGTGGAGGAGAGTTCTGCACCGTCTATATCATCCACCTCTGCACCTGCTAATGCCTGGGAACACAGGCGGAAGGGAGGCGGGAATGCAGGACACTTTTGAGAACTCTCAAAACTACCTCTGCCCCTGCTAGTGCCTGGGATAGAAGAGAGGCGAGAACGGAAGCGATGTGCAAGGGAAGGTAGTAAGGGGAGTGAAGGAGGAATGAGAGTGAAAGAGGCAAGGGAAGTGGTAGAGGGAAAGAGAAAGGACAGGGAAAAGGGAAATGTCAAGGTGGAGGCGAGCAGTGAAGGGCGAAAGGAAGGGAAGGGAAGCGAAGGGAAAAGGGGAAGGGAGGGAAAGGGAAGGGAAAAGGGGAAGGGAAGGGAAGGGAAGGGAAAAGGGGAAGGGAAGGGAAGGGAAGGGAAAAAGGGGGAAGGGAAGCGAAGGGGTAGAGGGGAGGAGCGCAGCGGGGAAAGGGTATAACAAACACACAGGTAGAGGAGAGGAGAAGAGGGGAACAAATGGGAAAAGTGACAAAGGGGAGGACAATCCCGTTTGCCTGGGGGCCAAAGTACCCCTCTGCTTCACCCAACCCTTCCATTTACCCCACTCACCCGCCCACTCAACCACCCTCTGTCTGCTCTACCCTCCCCCCTACCATGATGTGTCTGTTCACACTCCCTCCCTCTCGCCCCTCCCCCTTCCACCCAGTTCCCCTCCCCCATACCTGCAGCACGCGGATCTGCTGTCTCAGCCCCTCCACCTGCGCCCATGCTGTGTCTGCCCCCTACGCCCAACCACCCGGCCCCATCTCCCAGCTCCCCCCCCCCCCCCCCCCCCCCCACCTGCAGCACGCGGATCTGCTGTCTCAGCTCCTCCACCTGCGCGGGGGACACCCCTTTGACCCCGTGCGCCCACCCATCCCGTGACCATCAAAACACCCCCCTCCCTCCTCCCCCCTGCCCATCCCCCCCACTCCCCCGCCCCATTCCCCCCCTGCCCACCTGCAGCACGCGGATCTGCTGTCTCAGCTTCTCCACCTGCGCGGGGGACATCCTCCCCTAGACCCCGCATACCCCCACCCATCCTGAGTCTATCAAACACCCCAACCTCCGCAGCCCAGCTCCCCCACTGCCCCCTCCCCCCATGCCTCACCTGCAGCACGCGGATCTGCTGTCTCAGCTCCTCCACCTGCGCGGGGGACGCCCTTGCCTGCAGCTCCGCCTGCACCTGCTGCACCTGCGCCTCCCTCTCCGCCACCTGCTGCTGCGCCTGCTGCAACGCCCCCTCCCACTCATCCCTCTCGCGCTGGGGTGGTGGCAGTCGGGGGGTAACACGGGGAAACATAGGAGGATGGTGACCTTTGAGTCGACTTACAAGTCATTCCGGCCACCACCTGCTGCAACGCGCTCTCCCACTCCTCCCTCTCGCGCTGATGCGGTGGCAGTCGGGGGATGAAGCAAGAAAAGAGTTGGTATGGTGTCATGAACCTCGTTCTTATAGTTTTAGAGAAGAGGGAGGAGGGAAAGGAGGGGAGGGAGGAGTGGTGGGGTGAAGGGGTGGAGGGTGGGGGGGGTGGGGGAAGGGGGGAGTAAGAAGCGTTTGAAAAGGAGAACAGGGATGAGGGGACGATTCCTTTATGTAAGGTGTCATTCAGCAGTTGTTGATTTAGAATCTTCAAAAACAAAGTCATGTCAGCCGTAGTATTACCAGCAGCGTCTCCTGCATGTTAGCATCTGCTGCAGCTGCATGTGCAGGCGAGACACAAGCCTCTCCTTAGCCTCCTCAGGATCCTCTAGTACTGACAGTCTGACACAGCCACAGCCGCAGCATCTGATGCTGATGCAACATATACAGCACAACAGGAGTAGTGATCGTACCTGCAGCGTGTCCTGCATCTGCTGCAGCTGCATGTGCAGGCGAGACACAAGCCTCTCCTTAGCCACCTCAGGATCCTCTGCCACAGCCGCAGCCGCAGCATCTGCTGCTGATGCTGATGCCGATGCTGATGCTGAGAGCAGTGCAGGGGACTTAGCACCCCCCTCCTCCCCTTCTGTGGTTAATTCTCCTTCCCCAAGCAAGCTTTCACCAGCAGCGGCAGCGGCAGCGGCAGCGGCGGGTGTGGCAGAAGCAGGGCGAAGAGGGGGCGAAGCAGCAGTAGCAGCAGCGGTAGCAGCAGAGAGCCGCTGCTCCAGCATGCTCACACGAGCCTGGTGTGGTAGGAGGTGTGAGAGTGGGCAATGGGGGTAGGGAGTGGGGTTGGGGGTGGGGGTGGGAGTGGGGGTGGGGATGGGGGTGGGAGTGGGGTTGGGGGTGGGGGTGGGAGTGGGGGTGGGGGTGGGGATGGGGGTGTGGGGAAAGAGGAGAGGCAGGGTTGGATATGAACGTATGGAGAGTGGCAACGACAGCAGCGGTGGCGGCAGAGAGCCACTCTCCTCTCCAGCATGCTCACACGAGCCTGGTGTGGTAGCAGGTGTGAGTGAAAGCGGGAGGGGCGGTGAGAGTGAGTGAGACAGGGACAGGCGGTGGGAGGGAAGAGAACCGGAATGATTGGATATGGACAAGACAGCAGGGGAAACGGGGGTAGGGAAGGAAGGCAAAAAAGAAAACAGGGAAGGGGGAAGGGGGAACGGCAAAGGAAAAAGTGAAGAGGGAAGAGGGCTTAAGGAGCAAAAGGGGACGGGCAAAGGGGGAAGGGCAAAGGAGGACGGGCAAAGGGGAAGGGCAAAGGGGGACGGGCAAAGGTGGAAAGGAGAGAAGGGGGAAGGGGGGTAAGGAAAAACGGGAGGGGCAAAGGGAGACGAGGTACAACTCACTCCTTGGTCATCAAATTACACTCCCCTCCCCACCCTTATACTCTGTTCCCCATCCCCTGTCATCCCACCACATCCCACCACATCCCACCGCATCCCACCAACCACCCTTGCCTCCCGTTGCCCCTCGCTCAGCTCAGCCTCCTCTCACACGTCACCCTTCTTTATCTCATCCCGCCACACCCCACCGCACCTGGCTGCGTTCAAGCTCCTCCATGAGCCCATCAATCTCGTGCTGCTTGCTCGCCCTCTCCTCCTCCATGCGTGCATTCGCCTCAAACACCACGCCCTGCATCGCCTCGTTTGCTCTCTGAGAGGGGAAAAAGGGAGGGTGGGGGGCGGTGGGGGGGGGGGGGTGGGAAGGAGATGAGACGTCTTAGAATTCTCTTGCTCGCCCTCTCCTCCTCCATGCGCGCATTCTCTTCAAACACAACGCCCTGCGTCGCCTCGTTTGCTCTCTGACGGCCATAAGGGAGGGGGAGGGTAGAAGAGGGCGGGGGAAATTGAGACGTCTCAGAACTTGTATCGTCGCCCTCTCCTCCTCTCTTCCAACGTTTCCAACCCGCATCGTCCTTCCATCCCGTCCTCCAGTTTCCTCTGCTCCCTCTCCCTTGCCCTGCACCTCTTCTCGCCCGTCTCCTGCTCTCCTCCCATCCCTTACACTTCTCCCTCCCCCTGTCCCATCCCCCTGCGCCCTTCCCCCATCCCCTCTGGGCCCTCCCCCACTCCCCCGCACCCCCCATTCCCCCCCTGCCCCGCCAGCACACCTGCATGGCGGCGAGGTTCTCCATCCCCTCGCGGATGCGCGCCTCTAGGTCCGCCTCGCGCTGGCGGAAGACCAGCACGCGCGCCTCCATCTCCCCCGCCCTCTCCTCCAGCGCCTCCCGCACCTTCTCTGTCAGCCGCTCCTCCTGGCGCGCACAGCAGAGCAGAGCACACAGCAGGGCACACAGCAGGGCACACAGCAGAGCACACAGCAGGGCACACAGCAGGGCAGAGCACACAGCAGGGAACACAGCAGGGAACACAGCAGGGCACACAGCAGGGCACACAGCAGGGCACACAGCAGGGCACACAGCAGGGCAGAGCACACAGCAGAGCACACAGCAGAGCACACAGCAGAGCACACAGCAGGGCAGAGCACACAGCAGGGAACACAGCAGGGAACACAGCAGGGCACACAGCAGGGCACACAGCAGGGCACACAGCAGGGCAGAGCACACAGCAGAGCACACAGCAGAGCACACAGCAGAGCACACAGCAGGGAAGAGCACACAGCAGAGCACACAGCAGAGCACACAGCAGAGCACACAGCAGAGCACACAGCAGGGCACACAGCAGAGCACACAGCAGAGCACACAGCAGAGCACACAGCAGAGCACACAGCAGAGCACACAGCAGGGCACACAGCAGGGCACACAGCAGAGCACACAGCAGAGCACACAGCAGAGCACACAGCAGAGCACACAGCAGAGCACACAGCAGAGCACACAGCAGAGCACACAGCAGAGCACACAGCAGAGCACACAGCAGAGCACACAGCAGGGCACACAGCAGAGCACACAGCAGAGCACACAGCAGAGCACACAGCAGGGCACACAGCAGAGCACACAGCAGAGCACACAGCAGAGCACACAGCAGAGCACACAGCAGAGCACACAGCAGAGCACACAGCAGAGCACACAGCAGAGCACACAGCAGAGCACACAGCAGAGCACACAGCAGAGCACACAGCAGAGCACACAGCAGAGCACACAGCAGAGCACACAGCAGAGCACACAGCAGAGAACACAGCAGAGCACACAGCAGAGCACACAGCAGGGCACACAGCAGAGCACACAGCAGAGCACACAGCAGAGCACACAGCAGAGCACACAGCAGAGCACACAGCAGGGCACACAGCAGAGCACACAGCAGAGCACACAGCAGAGCACACAGCAGAGCACACAGCAGAGCACACAGCAGAGCACACAGCAGAGCACACAGCAGAGCACACAGCAGAGCACACAGCAGAGCACACAGCAGAGCACACAGCAGAGCACACAGCAGAGCACACAGCAGAGCACACAGCAGAGCACACAGCAGAGCACACAGCAGGGCACACAGCAGGGCACACAGCAGAGCACACAGCAGAGCACACAGCAGAGCACACAGCAGAGCACACAGCAGGGCACACAGCAGAGCACACAGCAGAGCACACAGCAGAGCACACAGCAGAGCACACAGCAGAGCACACAGCAGAGCACACAGCAGAGCACACAGCAGAGCACCAGACAGCACAGGGCACAGAACAACGCGGGAGGGAGGAGAGAGGGGAAGCAGGGAGGCAAGGAATTTGCATAACAGAGGGGGGATGTGGAGGCAGGCAAAGTATGGTTACTTGGAAAAGGAGGGGAAAGAAGAAACAAAAACATATGCCACTTGCACGCACACATACACGCTCACCTCACCTACCTCATACACGCCACACCGCACACATGAACCCCACCCAGCAAACACCACCGCACACATGAACCCCACCCACCCCAGACGGCCGTACCAGCTCTGTGTTGCGCTCCTGCAGGCGATGCAGTGACGCCTGCAGTGCCTTGCCTGCTGCTGCGTCCGCACGCACGATCTGCCATGGGATGGGGGATGGTGTGGGTGGGGAAAGGAGGCGGAGGAGGGAGGTGGGAAGGGAGGGGGAAAGGGAGAGGGAAAAAGGGGGGGAAAGGACGGGGGATAGGGAGGGGAAAAGGGAGGGGGGTGGGGAGGGGGACAGAGACGGGGGAATGGAGGGGGAACGGGAAGGGCAAAGGATGTGGGACGGGGAGCGGGAAATGGGAGGGCAGGGAGGGCAAAAGGGAGGGCGAAAAGGAGGGGTGAATGGGGGAGAAAGAAAAGGAAGAAGGGGAGGCGGAGAGGAAAGGAGGAAAAAGTACCCAAGCGGACTCAAAAGTTTAGATGTGGCGTGGTGGGGGGCATGGGTTGGCGAAAGAGGGAGGGAATGGGAGAGAGGACAGGAGGCAGAAACAGATAAAGCAAGACTCAGAAAGCCACAAGCGGGGCAGGGAATAGCAAGCGAGGGAAAGGGGGGTGGAAACGGGGAGGGAAGAGACAGAAGCAAAGGGAGAGGGGGTGGAAGGGCACAAGAGTCATAGTCTACACGACAAAATTCCTCCCTCCCCCCTTTACCCTTCCCCCAAATTCCCCCCCCTTTCCCCTCCCTCCCCCCTTTGCCCACCCCTCCCCCCGCTCCCACTCCCCCCCGCTCCCACTTCCCCCCGCTCCCTCCCTCTCCCTGCTTCTCCGGGTCACCTCCATCTCCTGCCGCAGTCGCCGCGCCTCCTGCTCCGCGCCCGCCACGCGCGCCGCGACGGGCACGAAGGAGCGCAGCAGCGGCAGCACGTCGGGCGCGTCGTAGAGCGCCTGGTACACGCCCAGGTACGCGCTCTCCGCGTGCTTCGCGCGCTTCGTGATCGAGTCGATCTCCGCCTGCGCGCACGGGCGCGGAAGGGAGAAGGGGGAAGGGAGAAGGGGGAAGGGGGGAAGGGGATGGTGGGTTGGGGGGAAGGGGGGGAGGGGAGGGGAGGTGGAGAAGAGAGGGGGTGGCGGGGATGGAGGGGTTGGGAGGGAAAGGGGGGAGGAAAGTGGTGGTGGAAGAGAAACACAGGAAAGGTGCCCTTTTGGAGATTGCGAGACCTCAGAGCAAAATGCTTCACATTATATTTTAACTGACACTTGGCACAGTCAAAGATCCAAACCTAATCGGTGAAAGATCAATTAATATCGGGCGCTGCAAACGTTCGCGCAAACACACAGACATCATTCCTCTCGCCTTCTCTCCGTCACCTGGTATGCCTTGAGCAGCGGCGCAAAGTCCTTCTTCTCCCCGCCGCTGCTCTTGAACGCCTTCGTCTGCTCCGCGAGAGACCGGCGGTTCTTCGAGCTCGTTTCCTGGAACTGCGAGATCGTCAACCCTAACGCGTCCCACCCGGATTTCTTCCCTTCCAGATCGATTTCCTCCCACGCCGCGAGAACGCGTTTCGCGGCGTCGATCGCGGAGGGAGGGAGGGTTGCGTCTTGGAACGCTTCCATGTCTTGCAGGAGCGACGCGGTGGCGGAAGCGGCGGCGGCAGACGTGCCGCCAACTGCGGCGGCGGCTGCGGCGGCATCGGCGCTGGAGGAAGGAAACTCGTTAAGAGACGAATCGAGTGCGTCTATAGCCTTTGAGAATAACTCGTCCATGGCGAATTGCTGGAAATTGCCGGACAGTAACGGTGTAAGATTAAGAGATGGGGTATTGATAGATTAGAGAGGTGGAACACGGGTTGGAGTTCAGTATGCGGACGACGATGGATAGGAACGGTGAAAGGAAAGGCTCGGCTTTGTCGCTTCAATGGGTGGTATGGAAGACGATACTGGCTAAAGGGGTGCGCTGTAGGACTGTAGGACTTATCAGACGTCTTTTAAGGTAGAACCAAGTCGCCGTGGAAAGGAAGACAACAACAACTGGATGTTCTGTACGACATATGGAACGCGCTTCCGCTCTTGTAAGTGATAGCAACGCTGTTTGTCTGTTATGGAGCAGAATGAGCATAGAATGTCGCAAGGGCAGTCACTCAAGAGTCGTTACGAGCCCCTGAGCAACGACGCTCGCCACCTCATAACGGGAGGTGGTAAGTTCCACACCATCTTGCAAGCAGCATATATTCTGAAAAGTCACGGCAGTAACTAGTTCATACATATGTAGGAGCCATGACACGAACGAATGGGTTGGTGGGATTCGTTTTTTGGGTTGCGTAGCAACCTTATACATTCGTTTTCACTTTTCCGTTGGCTGATGTGAACAGTGAATTTCTCTTATAAATTTTGAAAGAAATCACTGTTCACTTAGCTTCCCCAAAAATGTGAAAACAAATGTTTCCAATCATTCCATAATCGTCGATAAGTACGGCGAATGGAACAATTGGAGAATTGTTCTAGCACTAAAGATGATATGGTACCGAGTGACACACGAACACAAAGGACAACACGAAAAATACTACAGTACCACCAAGAAACACACATACACAAATGACCACAAAAACGATGGTGTACAAGAACCGTCGTACATGTTTTGAAGGGGATAGTACGGTAAATGCATCAATGCAACAACTGAGACTGATATGGTACGGAAGAGGCGAGCAAAGCTGCCCCACCGACGATCACAATCCCAGTTGCATACACGATACACTTAGCACCACACCCCCAAAACAAGCACAGACGATAACACATAAATGATTATGAAAACAGAAGACAACGTTTAAGAATGTTTCAAAGCGGATGCTAAATGCATCAGTGCTGCAACTGAGATTGATATGGTACGGAAGAGGCTAGCAAAGCTGCCCCACCGACGATCACAATCCGAGTTGCATTCACAAAGCACTTAGCACCACACCCTGAAGCACGCAAAACACACGTATGCACATGTACGCACTCACACACATACACGCTCGCACATATACAGACACACACAACAACGCAAAAACATACAGCTATTGTAGTAAGCATGCAAGCATAATGAATGAATTTCAGCCTTGTATAAATTAATTATCTCTATCTTGTCCCCCGTTCCCCTCCCTCCCTCCCTCCCTCCCTCATTTCCCTCATCTCCCTTCTCCCCATCTCTTTTCTCCGCAAGGCTGCAGCTTGGACTCCTTGCACAGGAAAGGAAAATCAGCGAATGCAACTCACTCCCTGCACAAACAAGAACAAAACCAGAGAATACAACTTGCATTAGTTGCACAAGAAAACAAAATCAGAGAATGCAGCTGAAAAACAAAGTAAGCGCAACATAAATTCACACGCAAACTCCCACGTTCTCTCACGCGCTCCCACGCTCTCAGGGGGGAGCGGCGACGGCGGGGAGGAGGGAGAGGCAACCGCGTGGAGGGAGAGGGGACGGCGGGGAGGAGGGAGAGGCGACGGCGGGGAGGAAGGAGCGGCGTCGGCGGGGAGGAAGGAGCGGCGACGGCGGGGAGGAAGGAGCGGCGACGGCGGGGAGGAGGGAGAGGCGACGGCGGGGAGGAGGGAGAGGCGACGGCGGGGAGGAGGGAGAGGCGACGGCGGGGAGGAGGGAGAGGCGACGGCGGGGAGGAGGGAGAGGGGACGGCGGGGAGGAGGGAGAGGCGACGGCGGGGAGGAGGGAGCGGCGACGGCGGGGAGGAAGGAGCGGCGACGACGGGGAGGAAGGAGCGGCGACGGCGGGGAGGAGGGAGAGGCGACGGCGGGGAGGAGGGAGAGGCGACGGCGGGGAGGAGGGAGAGGCGACGGCGGGGAGGAGGGAGAGGCGACGGCGGGGAGGAGGGAGAGGCGACGGCGGGGAGGAGGGAGAGGCGACGGCGGGGAGGAGGGAGAGGCGACGGCGGGGAGGAGGGAGAGGCGACGGCGGGGAGGAGGGAGAGGCGACGGCGGGGAGGAGGGAGAGGCGACGGCGGGGAGGAGGGAGAGGCGACAGCGGGGAGGAGGGAGAGGCGACGGCGGGGAGGAGGGAGAGGCGACGGCGGGGAGGGGGGAGAGGCGACGGCGGGGAGGGGGGAGAGGCGACGGCGGGGAGGGGGGAGAGGCGACGGCGGGGAGGGGGGAGAGGCGACGGCGGGGAGGGGGGAGAGGCGACGGCGGGGAGGGGGGAGAGGCGACGGCGGGGAGGGGGGAGAGGCGACGGCGGGGAGGGGGGAGAGGCGACGGCGGGGAGGAGGGAGAGGCGACGGCGGGGAGGAGGGAGAGGCGACGGCGGGGAGGAGGGAGAGGCGACGGCGGGGAGGAGGGAGAGGCGACGGCGGGGAGGAGGGAGAGGCGACGGCGGGGAGGAGGGAGAGGCGACGGCGGGGAGGAGGGAGAGGCGACGGCGGGGAGGAGGGAGAGGCGACGGCGGGGAGGAGGGAGAGGCGACGGCTGGGAGGAGGGAGAGGCGACATCGGGTAGGAGGGAGAGGCGACGGAGGGGAGGTAAGGAAGAGGAGATCGCGGGGTGGGGCTGAGTGACTGTGAGGTGAATAGGAGAGGTGAAGGTGGGTAGTGAGGGAGAGGATACGGCGGGATAGGAGCAAGAGCGACGGCTGGGTGGGAGAACTGGCGAGAAATTGGGGTGGGGGGAAGGAAGAGGAATAAGAGCAGAGCAGGTGTGCTTGTCGAGTCGAGAGGAACCAGAAAACAAGAACCAAGAAAAGAGCGCAGAAATTGAGTTGGCAGCTGTGAAAGGGGCGGATGCCAGCGCAGAGATGAAATTTCTGCCAGCGCAAAACAAGACAATTTCTGCCACCGCAGAACGATACAATTTCTGCCAGTGCAGAACGAAGCACCATATACAGTATACCGTTTTAAGTTAATAATTGGTCTAGTCGTAAGTGTAACACACATACGGATATGCGTTATGAGAAAAACCAATTACAGATGGGGAGATCATACATGGAGATCAGTCAGCTCATATCGAGTTTCCAGCACCTACGCAACCCATACGACGTTGAACGTCGAGTCTTGTTTTTTTTTTTTTTGGGTTGCGAAGCAATCTATTACGATCGTTATGTACATTTTTTTTTCATCCTTGGAGCATTGAAAAAATAAGGATGAAAAAAATCTACCGTAGTGTCGGTAACTAAGTGACTTGACTGTCGTATTTAACACGTGCCGTACCTGTGGAAAACTGAACGAGAATGAATCAACTATGAATGAAGTGAGTACAATTATGAAACCCTAATTGGGTTGTACCCCCTATGGGATACCCCACTGTAGCCTACACAAATAAGTAAGCTATAATGTTCTGACAGTACCGAATTCCTTCTCATTTCTTGGTTCGCCTTTGCCGAAATGATGTGTACTATGACACATGTGACGGTTAATTCCGTAATGCATATGCCGGATGATGTTATGCATAGATGAAGCATAATGATGATATGATGAACTAAATATTGAATGAAGAATGCATAATTATGCTGCATATACGACTGTGGTAATGAAATGAATGCATAGCATGATGAAAATGCGTCATAGTTAATTGATCCAGACCCTATGCTACCACATCCCCTGCCTAGCATAGGGGGGAGCTCAATAGCGTAGTTACTGAATCAACCAACTGTCACATGAAACAACACAATCTGTGCAATCTAAAAAAAGGTCAATTCTATCAAATCCAGTTCGAATGGACACACTCACTGAGTGCGCAAAGAACCTTCTCGGAAATGATAGTTTGATCCATTTTTTAAAAACACACAGACATGTGTTATTAATGCAATGGAAGCATGAATGAAAGCACATGCGCACACAACACAACGATTACACACACGCACATAGACACATACAAACACATACAGATAATCACACACATTCACACAAACTAAAAACGCTCAATGCATCAATGTTTAGAAAAAAAACCTAGGAGCAAAATTATACCTTAGCAATATACATATAACCCTACACAGAACAATCTGTATCTTTGCACCATCCAGATTAACCTTCACTTCATGAAGAAAACAACAAGGCCTGTTAGGAAAGCATCAGCAACAGAAAGAAACAAGAAAGACAAATATGGAACAATGGGAATAAGATGCATAATTGTACGACAAAACGCAAAGATTCACAGCAATGACACAATACATATTCACGTGCTGAACTGATTTGATACATCCAATCTATGTCACTACTACGACACACATACAAACTAATTCACTGCAGCTATGTGTTAGTTCATTTACTTCTTAAAATAGAAGTAATACCATTATGACATGACTGAATTAATGAACGAATTTTGACAACTTCAACTAAGAGATCGCGAAATCTCATGCTTTATTATTCACGCAGTCCCGGATCGTATGCAAGCTCATGCTTGCATGTACTGACGATCACATACTGTCAGAATCCCAACCACTAGACCACTGGGATAAAAGGGCTTATTTCAGTAGCGGGTCAGTGCGCCCATAACCCCCCAGGCGAACGCGCCTGTAACACTCTCCAGGATCAATCGGGCATCCACAGTGCAGATCTACTGACACCCCCCCACACTGGGAGGCCCAGGACTAAGCACAGCGGCAACGGCCTACATGTGCATACACTGGGAATCGA